GATTCTTATGCATTTCTCTTTGTAATTGTATTATGAGTTAGTTTGAAAGGTGGAAAACAAATTAACCTAGGCTAACTTATGGTTTATTATAGTGCCTTCTTGGTATCATTGCCATTTGTTTCTAGCATTTGTGTAATGCAAGCTGCATGGTAATGGTACTCTAACACATCAAAGCACAAATGTAAATTATAGTTGTAGGTTTTACCTTCTTTCTCATCTCCATTATGTTGTTACAAAACTTTTAGTAGCACTCTCTCTGCTAACTGTTGTATCTAATCTTGGTGTACTGATCTCTGAACGTTGAACTTTTCTGGTTATTTTGCAGTCTTTTCAGTTCCTATGATCCAAGTTCATTGATGTCAAATGCATATTACCGAACAGATATATATCAGCGATCTTTGGAAAAGGTATGGGAAAGTTATACTGACACTTGCTTTTAGTTCTCAACATCTCATTCTAGAGTTCTTGAGATGCTTATTTGCACGTAATGGCAGAATCACATTATGCACCCTTGAAATTCTTGTGTGGAAAATGTGAAAGCTTTAAGTGCCTGTAGCTGGTAATATATACAGACTTAGACATCAGTCACATTGGTTTTTCAGATATGATTTGGTGCTGCAGTTGGATGAGTAGCTAGCTTTTAAAAATTGTTCACCAAATGATCAATTGGTCTTGTAAATTTCTGAGTTACTGTCTTCATGAAATATTTTGTTAGTCTGACCACTTTCTCTTATGAATTACTATTTTGTAATACTTAGGTACCTGTAACAAACTTCTTTGGCTCAGTCATGGAAACAATACCTACCGATTCAGCTTATAAAGCCTTGTCAAGGAAAGTCTCCAACAAGTCCAACGTCCAAATGTATTATTCAGTGCACAATGAGAGGCCTTTGGTAAATTCAAATGACCAGGACAAAACATTTGAGCTAAACAATGAGGTGACTTGCATTACATCCCTCTATGGTCATCTGTAAACCTTGGTTATTTACCAAAAAAAAAAAAACTGCTAACTTTGTTTTATTATATAAAACTATATTTTAATATAGAAATGCACACACATTGCAGGGTCAACAAGTTGCTTCTAGATGCGTATGGCATAACTTTTATAACAAGTTTCAAAAAGTCGAAGATGTTGATATGCTGGTGAACTATGGCTTGGTAATAATGCTTCCTTTGCTGGTGGTTTCAACATGGCTGTCACAGTGAACGTTTGAACCATGATTTTATAAGTAAGTTGCAGAAAGTTGCTGATTCCTTTGAGAACTGGGGCTTAGTAATATTGCTTCCTTTCAGGCACCACCATGCTTTAATTTCTCTCCCATTGACATCCTTTTTTTATTTCACTTTTTGTCCAACCTGTTTTTTTTCTTGGTATATATATGGGGTTTCTTTGATTTCCTTTGAGCAATTAGGTTTAATTGTACTCTTACCAAAACCGACCATTTGTCTCTAATATCTCATGCATGCTTAACACTGTAGATGCCAACCGTCGTTTCCTGAACTTTGTTGTGTTTAGTATGACATGCTTTTACTTTTTTTTTTTTACCAAAGAAGAACGAAATAGATCTTGCAGTGTTCTTGAAATGGAAAAGAAGTTGTCTAGATCATCTGCTGACATGTCGCAGATAGTCTGATGTGGTGTCAATCTAACTCAAGACACCTGCAGAAATCTAAGATCTTCTCTCTCTTTATCTGCAAAGCATTGTCATCAAATATCTGCAGGATTCTTTTGGCCACCCCCCTTTTTTTTTTTTGATCAAAATCTTGTTTAAGACATCTTCAATATTATGAACTTTCCTTCATCATCCCAGGGTAGAGAACCCTCTACCTCTAAAATCGGTGAATCATGTCTTCCTTGCTTGTAGATCACTCGAGAAGTCTCTTGATTTATGTCAGAATGTTCTCATATTCTATTTGGTCATAGAGATCCGGTTCCTTTGATTTTAATGGCGCATGGTAATATTAAGGAGAATGATATAGGGGTAATTTATTGTTATTTTTTATATAATATTATATGTCATTTAAATAATTTATTATTTTTGTTCATTTAAGATTTATAATATTAAGTGTATTTATTTTTTTAATAATATATAAAAATTATCAACAATTTAAGTAATTCAGTGATAATTTTTTTTTGCTGAAAGTAAAATATTTTAAATTCGAATCGCATAGCATACAAGTAAAATAGGATAAAAAGTAAAAGATGATTGTCTTCTATTGTGGAATTAAAATATATATATAAATTATATAAAAAAGTTATCCTTATATTATTGCTCTAATATTAATTACGTTTTAGGAGGAAGTATACGAATTCAGGACTGAAATTGACTACTCTTGATTTTAGGAATGGTTTAGTGTAGATGACTGTATTACTCTTTTAAAGTTTTTCTCGTTCATTATATATATCGGAGTGGTTGAGAGGGTAAAATTCGAAGAAAAAAAAAAGATTAATAAATACAACATTGGTTTTCAAAAACGTCAATTAAAGAAATGCACGCTACAGGCCAGCGGCATACTTCATGAGGAATTCAGTGTCGGGGCTATGTTCAGACCAGGGTTATTGATTTCGTACTTTACTGGTTGGGACAGTTGGTATGTAGCAATGTTTTTGTACTCGGTCTGGTGGCTGATCCGTTTTGGTCATCGGTTTGGTTCAACAGTTCACTCGATCGGTTCAATTGGTTGACTAAAAAGTAAAAACCTTTTTTTTTTTTTTTTAACATTTTTACACCCGAGGCAAATGCAAATCTATTTTGTCAGTGGAAGAAGGAGAGGAAGGGCAATGGCGAAGGGTTGAGAATCGGGGAGGCAGTTGGTTGCTGGTGACTTCGCTGCTTTGTTTTCTTTTTGCTTTCTGGTTGTTTCTGCACAGAGACGAAGGGCTTGCGTTTTGGTTTTGCTTCTGCAGAGACAAAGGACTGGAAGCCGCAGATGGAGGCCACGAGCAAGCAACAGGTTCTCGATTTCTGGCTGAGATCCGAGGAGGTAGTTGTGGAGTCACCGACGGCTGAGATTGGGGAGGCAGTTGGTCGCCAGTGACTTTGCTACTCTGTTTTCTTTCTGCTTTTTGGCTCTTCTATATAGAGATGAAAGACTTGCTTTCTGGCTTTGCTTCTGCAGAGACAAAGGACTAGAAACCGTAGACAAAGGCCACGAGCGAGCAGCAGGTTCGCGATCTCTAGCTGAGATCGGGCAGGGAAAGGCCGGCGGTGATGACTGGTGCGTGGTACTGGTGGTGGTCTGGTGGTGTTGTTCTTCTATTCCCCTGCTCTCTTTTGTTTCTAATTTCTCTTGGGTTTGCTTTTGCAATTTGCTGCGATTTTAATTTTTAATTAAAGTTAATGGTGTGGGTAATTAACTAATTACATTAAAAATTAAATAAATTAATTTAATTAATATTAACTCATTAAAAAGTAAAAACTCAAATTCATTTAGCTCGGCGGGTTAGGCGGGTTAGGCGGTTTCAATTCAATAGGTTGAGCGGGCACCAGCGGACCAAAACAGGTGAACTTGTAAAACGGGTTAAGGTACTGGCCTGGCCCGTTTTTAAATCCAGGTTTAGTTCAACCGGTTCAATCGATCGGTCCAGGTTGGGTCCAAAAACACTATAGTGATTTGAGAGTAAAATTAGTATATTATATTTTAAAGGGTTCTTTTAATATGTTTTTTAAGGTATAATTAAAGAATATTTTTTCAATATTTTTTTTTTGAGTTGTCGAGGGATAAGCTCGAAGTTCACCCATGGAGAAAGGGGAATCCACCTCAAGCTAGTTGGGTGCTAGTTGACTCGAAGAGTCAGGTGTGAATATTTTCTCAATATTAGTTATCATTAAAAAAATAAAATTTAATATTTATTTAATCATTCATTTAATTAAAATAATACATGTAACATTAATAATAAAATTAATATTAATTTTTATTATTTTTATATTAATTAATATAAAAATATATATATTAATTATACCATGTAATTTAAGAGCACATGTTAAATAAATTTCATTTTAAATTTGCATTATGTGAAATATCGATTGCATTGCATAAATAATGGTTGTGGTTGTATTGACAGGTGTACGAATCAAAATTTAACGTAGTGGTTAATACACACGAACAACACAAATAGAAAAAAAGTTAAAAAAAAAAAA